ATCCCATCGCATCCCATCCCATCCCATCCCATCCCATCCCATCCCATCCCATCCCATCCCATCCCATCCCATCCCATCCCATCCCATCCCTGCTCCATGCCTAGGCCCCTTGGGAGGCAGGAGATGAGCCAGCCCGGTGGCTCATTCCAGGTGCTGTCAGCAGCCTGGATCATCTCCCTTGATTTATCACACCAAATTCCTGGAAGAAGAGGAGAAGCAGCCCAATCCAAAGCAGAGCAGCCCAACTTGGGAAGGAGGGAAGCAGCGACCGTGACATGGGGCAGGGGCAGAGCAGCGGGATGAGCCTTGGGGTCATGGCAGATGGGCTGAGGCTCCTCCTCAGACCTTTGGTAGTTCAGGGACATGGGCAGAGGGTGCTGCCATGGCCATCCCTTCCCACAGAGAGCCTGGGAGCAGCTCTGTCCCCGTGCCCCGGTGCCACCGGAGCGTTGGTCCCGCAGCAAAGGCAGAGCCAGCCTGGCTCACACAGCCCAATTACCACAGGCATAATTGTTTGCAGAATTGGAGCCTTCATTTGCTTTGAGTTCTTCCCAACTTTGCCCAGTCCTCCAATATCTCCCTGCACTGTCAGGCATTCTCTGTTCCAACACAAATACAGATTTTTCTGGAAATGTGATTTATTTCCCCTAATTTTGATCTCTTCTTGCATTCTTCAGTTGAAGAAGCAGAACCCATGAAGAGTTTGGCTGACAGAAGTATTTGTGCAAAGGTTTCCTTTTATCCCCTCTTCCATATTTTTCTCAAAAACAGCTACCTAAATCCAAATAAGATTAAGAAAAAAACCTTTCCAATGGGCTACATTAATTTAGTTACCAGATCCTTTGCAACGATGAAAGAAGCACAATATTCTTATGTAATAAGTCCTACTTTATAAATGCATTAATTCTTAAACTATATTGTTTTAATAAACAAGGCTCTAGACATGCCCAAGGGCACTGGTATTCTCAGAAGAGTTTTCCAAGAAGGCTTGTGTTGTTGGATTATTATTCCATTACTTCCAAGTTCACTGAGTGGAGCTATTTTTTTTCATACTCATATTGCAGTAAAAACAACAACTTTCAAATACTTTCTCGAGGAGATTGGGAGTCAAAATGGAAACTATTTGTGTAGGATGAGAAGTGCTGAAAGTCTCTCAGTTCATGCAATTACGTCGGGAATCTGAGGCCTGACTTGTTATTAAGGGGCAGAAGGGTGGGGGATTCAGGTCACTGCGGAGATTTCTGGGCTAATCCCACTCCTGGGGATACTCTGGGGGAGCCATGGCCAAGCCTGAGGGGCTCAGGCAGGAACCAGCTCTTGGCCATGCCCATCCTGGTCCAGCAGGATCTCAGGGGTGTCGGTGGCTGGATGCTGAGTGCTGCCCTTGAGCTGCTCCAGCACTGTGTCCCTTCTGCTGTGACTCCTCTCCATCTGCCTCTGAGCCCAGCTTCCCTTCAGCTCCCCCAGATCCACCCCACACGGGTGAGCCAGAGGCTTTAAACTCTCATTTTAAGACCCCATCTCTTGGAATCCTCCTCTTGCTGGCTGGGCTGGGGAGCACCAAGTTGGTAAGGCATGGCTCAGGCAGGGCAGGGTGGACAGCAAGTTCTGGCTGGCTCTGGGATATCTGTGTTCCCATGGATATTTCCCCAGAGAACCCCTCTGAGGGAGGGCTGACTAGAGAGGCACTAACTCTATAAATGATAATAAAGAGATAACTCACATATGCCCTCCAAACCAGCTTCTAGGTGGTGCTGCACAGAGCCAGGAAAAGTTGCTGTGCCAGGGCAGTTTGTGCTGTATTGAAAGGATGAAACATTCATGGTTTATTCACCCCATTCAATGCTTGGTGTGGATGTGCAGTTTTGGGGTGCTGTGTCTCACCTGATCATTCCACGCCCCACAGGGGATGAGCAGCTCCCAGAGGAGCCAGCACAGAGCTGCTCTCCCTCCTCACCCTCCTGTCAGCACCGGCCACTCTTTCCAAGCGGATGCAAATGAAGGGAAATCTCACCCATTTGTGCCTCTGCGGAGTATCTTCTGCCTTATTCCCATGAATTATTAGCTCACTTTTATTGGGTTTGGCTTGCAGGAGGATGACTATTTCATCCATCAAATCAGAATCTTTTTTAACACTAATACTGAATTTATAGAAGTGGTTAAACGAAGTGTTGACAATATGGACAATGTGTTTCTGATTAACGCTGCGATTTAACAGGGAGCTGCCAGCGGCCGGCACTCACTGAACCGGAGCAGCGCTTTTCCAGACCCTGCAGCTCAGCGCTGCAGATGTCAGGGCTGGCTCTAGGGGGCTGGCTGCAGCCAGGCTGCTCCCAGGAGCTGAGCTCTTCCCCTGTGGTCATACCTGTGCTGAGCTTTCCCCTAAGCACACCTGTACTGAGCTCTTTTCTGTGGTCACACCTCTATTGTGTTCTTCCGCTTGTGGGTTCGTTTATATTTGTGCATTTTGCTGTGCAGGGGCTGAACAGCTGGGCCTTGCAGCTCTGAAGAACATCAAAACAGATTAAAATATGGCATCTTCCTTCCTTCCTTCCTTCCTTCCTTCCTTCCTTCCTTCCTTCCTTCCTTCCTTCCTTCCTTCCTTCCTTCCTTTTTCTCTGTGACACAAAAAATAGGAGTTGTACAAAGCAAGTGGCTTTGAACAGAAGGCAGAGGAAGAGAGGGGAGTGTGAAGAGCCACGGTGATCACAGCCAAGATGAGAGGATCCTGCTACCTGGAGCCTCCTCTGAGAGCTCACAGGCCAGGGATCTTTGATCCTTCCTTCCCTCTCCTCACTAATCACCTTCACGGCAACACTGAACTTCTGAAATTCAACAGCTACTAAAATATCAAGTATTTAGGGCTGGGAACACCTTGTGGAGTGCGAGGTTTCAAGAGATGTTTTGGCTTCTCTCGAGTTCAGAGCTGCAGTTGGAGTCTGGGAATCTTTCTTCCTCTGGTTTTATATCTGCTGGGTTTGCTGCTTGTTCCAGAGGGATTGATTCAGCTCTGGAAAAAATTGAGAGGTTTTCCCTGTGTGCAGCATAGGGTTAGAAAAGCCAGGAAAGCCCAGGCAGGGAGTAGACCTGCAGGTTACCCCAGGCAGGGCTGGAAGAGTCAGGCAAACCCAGGAACAGAGGAGCACAGGGAATTTCCCTGCAGCACAGCGAGCAGTGCCCATCCCTCTGGCACAGCGTGACCACTCTCATGTTCATCCCTCTGCTCATGCCCAGCAGAGGTTTTTGACTGGCTCCCATTGTTCCAAATTCCACCTGCAGTGATGGAGCTGTGGTTCCTGTAGTGTCAAATCTTGGATGCTTGGGCTGCTT